TATGAACGAGGACTGAAGGGTTCAAAAAAGATCAGAGATGATTGGAATAATCTGATGTCATGTGCGACATGAAGATTTTAGTGGTTCCTGCCAGTTTAGAATCATTGGCAAATATCTTGGGCTTTTCCCTAGTGGAACTGTCACATTTACAAGGTAAGGTGGTTCTTTTTGATTTTGACTTTTTGTTTCTTCATTCTGAAATAAAAGTTTCACTTCATTGGGTTCCATAATTTCTCAATACTTGGCAGGTGAACCTAATCATTTTCCTCAGTTGAAAGGTTCAATGACACAGTAATGTGAATTATGCCAACGTGGGCTGGGCTTTTTGCTTCTAAAACAAACTCTAAATGCAAATATTTTGTGTATTAGAATTGGTCTACCTGATTTCATTTGTGCAGTGATGAAATCTATGAAGCTATTCACTCCGAAGACTGCTGTGTTCTTCAAGTGGAAAGCTTAAGGGGTAGTTTTAAACAAGAAACAAAAGTTATAATGAAATCCACAAAATGATCTATCTAGATGTAAATAGGACAAATCATGCAATTTATACAGAGAATGTTTCTGTGGCCAGTTTGTATGCAGTTTTAGAGATTATCAGCTTTTGGGGGTCCACAAACTTTATTCTACCGTAAAATCATATGCAAATATATTCCCTGTATTAATGTTCAGATTTGAAAGATAAACTGTTAAAAAACAATTTTGAAAACAATGGCAAAATAAACCTCAGATGCCTTACCCTTCCAACCCTTATTTTTCTTAAAATTTTTGACTTACATCTACAATATGCAGTGATAGCTAATAAATTATTATCTGTTTATTAATTTTTAAATTTCAGGTTAATGAGGGTACAAGCAACTGGTACAATAAATTATTTTTGAGCAAATGAAAACATGACGTTCAATAATTGAAACTCACTCCTCTATGGTAAACATGGGCTTTTTGCAACATAGCAAATGCAACTCACAACAAAATTTCAGAAGAAATTGGATTATTGTTACCATCGGTTGACAAGATCAGGCATAGTTTTGCTCTTTGGAGAGGATTCTCATAGTCCACATAGTTTAAAAGAAATTATTATTCATTTTAGATTGAAATATTTCCATGTAAATGTGTCTACTGTGAGTAAGTAATTTCTAAAGTCTCAGTATAGGATTATTCTAGTTAATTCTTCCTGACAGGAGTATATTTAAATCCTTTCAGGCATGAAAAGGCCTATGTTTTCTCTTAAACATCTTTCACTTAATTTTTCAGTCGTGGTTTCCAGCATTCACAATGTTTGCATTCAATAAATCATTAAGTCGCACGTCAGCCCTTAATTTAGAGCTTTCATTTTCCCAGTCTCTGTAGGATGGTGTTGTCATGCTATGAGATCAAACCCTGGTTTCCTATCTTCATGAGGAGCGGGATGAAAATGAAAATAATTTTTTTTACTTTGATAAGAAAACACTTGAACCAAATATCAATGAACTGCCCCTGTCCAAATACACTACAATGAACTTCCCCTGTCCAATACATCTACTTAGTTAACTGTTGATGGCAGATGACAAGTAATTACCAATACCCCTTTGATTAAATTACCATTCACTTTAATTAACAGAATGCTGAGTAAATATCGAAGTCTTTTAATGAAACAGAAAATTCTTACTGAAAAGGATATCACTGAATAACATATTGGAAAGTACATTGAGTTTAATTAGCTCTGTGTCCCATAGAAAATATAAACTCAAATAATGGGTCCTGATAGCAGGTTCAGGTGAATCATTCCCTCAGTCCTGTCACTGAGTTAACTGTTAAATGCTGTGTCTTTTATTTTTTTTTTTACAAACAATGTTAGAGAAATTATTTTCCCTAAAAGTTAAAATACAAAGGGGTTTTTGATTTTGCGTCTCAATGTCTTTGTTTCCATATGCTTTCACATTTTTACTTAACTGTCATTCAATCCTGCAAATTGTTATTTTATTTTACTCTCAGTTGTTTTGAATCATTTCTCATGGACAGTGAGTCTGTTTTTGGCCTAAAGATGAAAAAGCTTAGATCACCTGGAGTGCCTCAGAACCCCTGGAGTCGCTTTAAGTGCAAGTTATGAAGAAAACAAATCTCTGCCTTAGTTTTAGAGTTAGCAGAGATTGAATGACTTTCTTAAATTCTCATCAACTCCAGATTTTTTTAAATGACTAGGCCATGAAAATTACCTACCAGAATCACAATTAACTGGCAAAAAAAAAAAAAAAAAAAACTAACTCCATGAAAATTTACGTTCTTAAAAAATATCAAGTACTCTTTTTCAAGAGGTAAAGAAATAGCCATGTGTCAGTGTTAAGATTTTGTGCCCCTTTCCTTACTGGTAATAGTCTTTGGCTCTTGGGGTGACTCGTCCTGAAGTATGAGTTATGTTTGCTTTTATGAACAGCCAAAGTGAACACTGGGATGGAATTTTGACTTTTTCAATTTTGAAGTAGTTACTCATTGATTGAAAGCTTTAAGAGATGGATGACTATTTAGTCTGCAAGATTTTAAAATAATAAATGCAATAGGAGAATAAATGCAATTGGAAATGTCAGTTAAATGTCACAACCAAATAGGTTCAAATATATTTGCTTTTATCTAAAACCTGAGTCAGTGTTGATCAGTGGCGATCTCCCTGCAGTAACTAGAACGTGCACACACTTCCCAAATCTGCTAAGAAAGTGGGTGCTTGGCTTGGCTTTCCTGCCTCCACTCCCCTGGCACTAGTGCTTATGATATTTGTTACTGAACTGTGAATATTTTAATATAGTGATTTTTGCACGTAAAGTAAATGACCAGAAACACAGGGCTGGCCTGAACCATCTCCCCCCCAAAAAAAGATCATCAAGAAAAATATTATTAGGAAATTAGTGTAAAAAAGCATCAAAGTTCAGAGTTTTGTGAAAAGATTGTGTACTCTACAAACGTGAATGTTCTTTTCATATTCGGTGTACTCATTCTCCTGATTGCTTGTTAATGAATCCGGTATAAACAGCAACAGAACCCTAAAAACTTAAAAAAGAACATCAGTGTTACAACATGTGTTCCTTTTTCCCAGACTTATGTTTGGTACATCCCTGAAGAAGTCCCTGAAATGAGATTTTCATTGAATACCTGAACTACAACTTCATAAAGTGTCAGTCCTGTCATGAAAATGTGGTGTCCCCCACAAACGAGAGGACGATATCTCTAACATCGAACCTTCGTTTAAATATTGAAGCTAAAAATATTTCATTTTCAGCCACAAGCAGAAAGAGATAAGTTGTGTGTAAATGGATGTGTACGCTGCATAGAGTCAGGGTGTGTTTTATTAAAAGTGGAAAGATGACATTTTTAGAAATGAACTATCCTTTTTAATAATCATGCTTTATCAATTGGAGGGTAAACCTTCCTCATGTAGGATGTGAAAGATGAGTTGTAATAAATTTCCTCCCCTTAATCTTTTCCATGGGATTAAGAAGGACTCCGGCATGATGAGTTTATTCTAACTCCCAAGTAACATTTTTAAAAAATTATTTTAAAGACTTATTTTAATCTAAAATCCCCATATTAAAGTCTCCTGATTGGCTGATGGTTCATGTTTTTTCGTGGCACGCATTGAAACATGTATGGATCAATGCGAAGTCGGATCAATAAGGAAATGCAGTTGCTAATTTACTTTAAGCTGCAGCTATATCTTCTCATAAAGCAATTGTGGCCAAAGAGGTCATTCGACTAAGAGTATGAGTTTTGTCTTCCCATTGGAAAATTTTTATATCCCAGTAAAACAAAGAGTTCCAAAATGGAAGTGTGGAAGTATCACCTTCATTCTGCTTATAAATATTACCAAGTGATTCTCGTAGGCTCGGTAAGGTAGCCACGCATTGTCAAATAGATTCCTTCTGTTATTTTCAGTGAGAAAATATCAGCTAGGAATAACTGTTGTCAAAAGGATGGTAGAAACATTACTGAAAAATTTTTAGCAACTCTGTGCTTGCCTTTAAAATGTTCATGTGTAAAATATTTACCTGTCAGTGGTAATGCCGTCATTATGAGACGTGCTGGTAAGCAAAATGTCAAGGTTTTTCATTTTTTTTTTTTTATATTTAGAAATAGGGAATTTTACAAAAATAACAATTTCATAATTGCTGATACATTTTTCTCATCTTGATAAATATGTTTTGATTTTCTTGCCCTTTAAATAAAACATCCTTCTATCTTAGAATAGAGCTGAAACACACACTAACTGTACGACACATCTCAAAAATCAAGTTAGAGTAATCCAGTACAGACAGATACCTTCCGAAAGGGCCTGAAAATGAGGCAAAGAAGTTGACCTGATTGCAAAGAAAGCTCTGTCTGGTAGGAACGTTTGCATAGTCTGGCGCCAGCTCCTTGATCCTTAGGAAGGCAAGTGCTTTCCCTGAAAGGACCGGAGGTCTTGGCCTTCTGTTTATTTTTATTAAATGTTGCAGTTCTATTATTTATGGCGTGTTTCTATACTTTGTTGAAAAATAAATCCTCCTTTCTTTAAGAAAATACTCACTTTCAATGATTAGCTTCTGACCGGGTTTAAAAGTCACCACTACCGTATACAATTTAAATGACAATGAACACAGTCTAGTTGTACCTTTGGTGTCTGCGAATATGATTTACAGGATCTACATGATAACTTCGTGTCACAAAAAAAGTCACCAAAAAGATATGTCATGGTACTTGAGACCCTTACAAACACTTAAAAAGTGAACTCTGATTCTGTTCACTTCAGAATACTAATGCTACATTTGAGATTCAGATTATTAAAATTTAAAAAATATCAGTTAGACAGTGCAACAGATGTTTGAATTAATATAACAAGAATACAGTATAAAATGGTGGCCATGATGGCTCCACGGCTCCACTTTCTAGTCACTAAATGTCACAGTTGAAGTTTCTATTCAGAATGATTCTTTAAACTGACAGCTTTGTCTGTATGTTTTATAGAACAAGCTCGAGAGACAGAGTTTTGGGTTTAGCAGAGCCAAACATCGCCAAGAAAAGGATTTGCTGAGAAGAAAAGAAATTAGCAGATAAGTAATATTACTTTGATTGCACAAAGATTGAATTCTGTGTAAGTTCAAATTTCCTTTAAAGTGTATAGAGAACCAGGTGCACAATTGGAAATTAACACAGTTGCAGCAAAATCAAAACCCTACATATGTGACATGTGCTACTTTACACAAAAGCAGCATAAACTATAGTTAGTTTTAGATAAGAACTAATCTTCTAAAAAACTTATTTCTTTGCCTATGCAAAGAATTACAACATATTAGAATACACTTAGTGCTAATAGGCGTACGACAGGAAGGTTTGAATACCTTATGTATCTGAGGACTATTTGTATTCAAGTAAAATGTATTAAGATGCTCACAGTTTAAAAAAAAGGACAAAAAAGGAAAGAAAACAAGTGCACATCAAATTTGTACATTACCATGGATGTATTTTAAATGAGAAAATCAAACCTTCCACTTTTTTTTTTTTTTCCTGATCCAATGAGAATATGGTCAGGCCCTTTTTTGAACCATCTTAGTCTGGAGGCCTTACGGTGTGGAAGGTGGTTTGGGAGATGGACAGGATCCTTGACTATCAAAACTGGTTGCCCGGCCAGGTAACTGAAAGACAATAATTTCACAATATGTGATCTGATCTAGCGCAGAAATACAATATAGTGGCTAATTGTTGATCCCTTTTCATCATGAGTATTCAACCACAATATGCAAATCTCTGAAGAGAAGACACACGTGGTCCCCCCCAACCCCCCTGCCTGACCCCCGCCCTTTAGAACTTCCCTTCCCGGGCAGCACAATGAGACATAAATACAGAATGTAAGAAGAGTGGGGTACACGGATGTACTTAGCACGGTACAGACGGCTGTTGATCACTGGGGATAACTTCACATCTTATGGCAGCCTTTCTAGTTCTTTTTAAAATAATTAATGGTTTGCGGCAGTGAGGGGCAATTTGTAGGTTAAGAGCAACAAAACTGAGGTTCTAGGACATGAGAGACTCCATCCACTTGCTGTAAGGCAGAAGGCGATTACAGGAGCAGTTGGCATGATGAGAGGGACTGCACTTGGCAGATGGGAGTCCTGAATGACCAAGATAATTTCTCGTGATCTTAAATACATCTTACTATGACTGTTTACATGTTCTCAACACAAACATGTGCCTGTTCCACAGAACCCTTCGTTTAAAATTGTTAATTACCTTAAAATAATACTGATTATCTGGGTAGAAGTAATCAGATTTTCTTTCTTCTTTTCTGTTTTTTTTTTCCTTTTTTTTTGGATAGAATCTTATTCTGCCACCCTTGGTAGAGTACTGCAGCATCATAGCTCATAGCAACGTCAAACTCTTGGGCTCAAACAATTCTCTTGTTTCAGCCTCCCCAGCAACTGAGACTTCAGGCAGCCAGCACCACGCCTGACTGGTTTTTCTATTTTTAGTAGAGACAGGACCTTGATCTTGCTGAGGTTGGTCTTGAACTCCTGAGGTCAAACAATCCACCTGCCTTGGCCTCCCAGAGTGCTAGGATTACAATTGTGAGCCATATAATAGTTTTATTAATAGCTAGCATGGTTCCATACTCTGTGCTAAGAATTTACTATTCAGTATTTATTTAGTTTTACCCTGAGTTCACTACTACTATACATTCATAGAGGAAATAGCCCAGGGTTACACAATATGGAGGCATAGAGCAGGGTCAGGCCTTCAACTCAGGTAAACTGATGATATTTTTAATATCTGTGAGCAATTTTTCTCCCTGGCAGGAACTGAGGGAGATACACCTGTCCCTTACATAGGAAAGCTGTATTAAGTAACAGAGCCTATATTTAGGGATTGTAGGGAACTTTAGGTGAGGCAGCTGTTTTCACAAAAGAGAAGCATAAAAATTCAGTTTCCAGTTAGTAATCAACTTACTAGACTGCTCGAGCACTCACTGTTTTAAGTTTTTAGGCTATGCCACAAAAACAAGAGACTTGAGGTTTTGACTGGGCTATTGTCCAAAAGGATGTGAAGCCAGAAATTCTAGTGGTTTTTAGAATCCAACAAGGCACACAGAACTTTGAATTCTAAATGTTCAACACCGACAAACAAAATCAAGAGGAGTCTTTATTATTCTTTTTTAAAAAGTTAATACACGAGATGACAGGGAGAGGTTAGCAGATAAGTAATATTTAGGCAGAACAGATAACAGAGGGCAGGAGTCAGGACCTCCCGAGCTCACCTCCAGCAAGGGGTGCCAGTGTGTTATTGGTTTTCGGTGATAGGCCAGCATTTCGTTCCAGTGGTCTCGCCCAAGACCTTCAGCGTCCAGTCCCGTCCTGCACACGCCAATGACCTCGTTGTGTCCTACCCTACGATTGGTAGAATATTACACTTTCATTTCCCACATTCACAGATAGATGGCGTTTCACACTTCTTAGTAGACTTTTAAACCTGTGATTTTGCAAATTTTATCACTTCAGGTCAAATGAAAATCCTTAAGGAAAGCAAAATTTACTAAACCAGAATCAACATTGAAAAATGAACTTGATGAGACACACACACACATACAGACCCTGTTAGCGCTCTGTAATTTGAACACATTTCATACTAATACAAATAGTGTGAATGAGAAATGCCAGCAGGTCCTTCCCCATAGGATGAATTTCTTTCTTAAAAGTAGTCCTATGAAATTTAAGTGATTCAATCAAATCTTTTTCCTTCCACAAAGCTTAATATTTGGTAACAATGCTTAGACTTCTCAGGGAGAGCATGTTCTTTTGTACAAGAGCATAGTTAGTGGGCTCTACGTGATCCGTCAGTGGGTGTTTCTGCTTGGGCTACAGTTAAGCAGGGCACAGTCACATTCAACCCTCTGGCATGTGATTCATTCCTGCGTAGCAGAGAGCACACTGGACAACATTTCTATTTTCTATTCGTGTCCTGCCTTCTCAGCAATGAATCAAAATAATAATAATGGGTACTATTTGTGAGATCTTATTATGTGCCTGCATTCTAAGCCATTTAAATGTATTGACCCATTGAATTCATACCGTGACCATAAATATCATTATTATCATCTCATTTTATAGATAAATAAACTAAACTCGCAGAGGTCAGGCACGCCTGACTTTACACCCTCAGTAGGAGGCGGAGGCAGAGGCTACGTCAGGGCGGCCGGCTCAAGACTGCAGGGTAGGTTGCGTCTCATAACGGGTAGTAACTTCAAGGGGCTGCTGCAGGGTGGTGGTAACAGACATTTCTGCAGAGACTGTTCACTGACGTCGGGACACTAGCGAGTTACTTCTTGTCACTGATGTGGACATGCACATTTGATGTCATTTTTCTCACTATGGAGTTTCTCAAACAAACCTATCTTGAGAAATAAAATTTTTACTTTCCTGTTTTATTTACCTTGTTAAGATCCATGTCCCTCACATTGCCTGGGTGACAAATATTTGATTGTATCTACCTGCACTCATTGCTGGGAGGGATCAAGAGCAGAATAGGACTATCGATAAAAACACAACATTTGGGGGGTATACAATTTCAACTAATTCAAGATCTCATTTTAAAAAGTCACAGTTTTTTTTTAACTTACATATAAATTTATTTCAAATAGTTGATGCAAATCATTTTTTTTTTTTTTTTTGGTCCTTCTTTTTCGCTAGTTCTGAGTCAGAGGATAACCCATTCGACTTCTGCTAAACACCATTTTCATGCTACTAAAACACGGACGCTCCTGTGCGTTCCTGTTTGTGC